TGAGCCTGTTGTGCAGTTGTCACCCTACAGTCGTCTCTCCAGCAGCCTTCCAAGCTGGACGATCCCAACATGGCTCCTCCTTGGGAACCTGCTACCCTCAGCTCTCTCCCTCCCTCTCCAACTCCAGTCCCTCATCTCCTTAGCTTGATTCTTTCATGGATATTTCCGCAAGATCTTTCCTGAATCATAGACTCAAAAGAAAGTTAATCAGTGAAATTAGTTTTCTTTTTAGAATTTACATTGTTTTTGGAGCTTTGTGGTAGCCCAGAGAACGATTAGTTCTTACTGAATGTGTGGTTTATAGAGAAGATCTGGTGCCTGGGGGCACCTGGAATGCCAGGGAGGGTAGAAATGAGTTTCCAATGGAATCTGAGCCAAAATAAATCTTCATGGTCAAGAGCCAATCCTTTGTTTTCCTGATGTGGGAACTGAGGCCTGGGTGGGAGAGAAATGGCTCAGGTCCCAGAGAGTTCTGCCCTCCTCCTGGCTCATCGAGTACTCCTGGAAGGTCAGTGTCCTGCCCCTTACTTCTTCCAGTTGAGTCCTTGCTGCTTCTCCTTGGAGACCCAACTCAAATGCCACCTCTTCTGAGATGTCATCATGGACCAGTATAGAGGTCTCTCTTCCCTGTCCAGCTGCTAGTCATAGCTCCCCCTGAATTTACAATTCTGCTTTCTGCCGTAAGTAGGTGTATGTCTGCTCGTGTGCCCGCTCACGTGTGTACGTGCGGTTGGATGCACACACAATAGATGGGGTTGGTCATCTCGTCTTGCTCATCTCTCTCCCGACGGTGCCTGGCACGATGCCTGGCACACAGTAACTGTTCAACAGTGGTTTCTGTGGTGTGAATGGAGGCTTGTTCCAGCAGACTTGCCAGAGTCCCCCTTTCAAATGGACACACTCTATTTAGAATTGCAGTAAATTCATTTTTTTCTCTGTCTGGGTGAGTGAAATAGAGTCTGCTTTTGGTGTAAATAACATGCACCCAGTTTTAAGTGTTGGGCCTCACCCCTTCATCAGTTTCAGTTTTCCCAGCCCCCTGCCATTCCTGCCCCACCCCCTCCCAGCCTCGTTTCTTTAGTAGGCCTCCTGCCATTCTCTCCCTTCTCCGTATGCTCGCTCAAGTGCAGGTACCCTGACTCAGCTGCCCCCTCCAAGCTTCGGAGTAGCACAGCCAGCCTCCCTCCCACCTGTGCATGACACACTCCAGTATTTCTCTCCATATGCTAAGTGATGTGTATACTGCTATCTAACTCCCAGGCTGCAAACACAGTGGAGCAGCCCCGCCGTCTACCTCCTCCTCTTCCTCCCTGTAGGACACACCTACTGTGCTAGGGGCCAGCCCAGCCCTCTCTCCCTCGTCACTTGCCCTGGTCTTCAGCTGATCTGCAGAGTCAGGGCCAAAGGAGGGGTGTGGGGAAGAAAAGGTAGGCCACGCCCAGAGGCCAGCAGTGAGGACCAGGAATCAGGACAAGAGTGGAACCGCTTTATCCACCCTCGACTCACCACATACTTCCAGGAGCAAGAAATGCACCTCGAATGCATCTTGGTGCATTCTGGGTGCCTTGAGACTGGGTTATCTCATGGGCCAAAGCCTCTTGGCCAGTTGGGGTCTCAATGCGGTTCCCATCTGTCACCTCTCCCTGCTGTTCATATACGTACCTGTAGCAACACTCCCTCCTCCCCACTGTCCCCAACCCAACCCAGAATCACCACACCTGGCTCTGCTGTGAGTCAGGTCAAAGTTATTGTACTCCAAGGAAGGGCCTCTTTAAGGCAAGTGCTGAGCGTTGATGCGTGGCCTTGGCTGCTCAGAGACCATCCTGCATCCTTTGGAACCTGGGCTGGATTCAAGGAGCTGGCTCCTGCTCTGTGTCCAGAATCAAGACTCCGTCTTCTGACTCCTTGGCCGGTGTGCCTTCCCCTGGGCCTCGCTGCCACCTTCCAGGCCGTCTGGGGCTTGGCTCCTTCCCTGATCAACATACAGGTTTCTTTGGAGTCTCAGAAGCTGCGTAGCCTCACCAACACACCCACATCCGCCATCCAGGAAGAGGTCAGGCCTGCAAGGGGCAGAGGCATGAGGTGTCCCTACCTGCCCTGGGCTGAGATGCTTCTTTGGGCTTATTTGTCCCCTCAGAGAGACTGAACTTCCATGACGGGTGATAAAATCCCATCCTGCCACGTGAGGCAGGCAGCAGGGATGAGTCTGCTTCATCTGCCGGCATCCTTGGTGTGGGGGACATGGAGCCCAGGCCTGCATACACTGTGGACAGTCATGGACAGAAGGCTCCGCAGATTGAGGGTGTGCCCAGGGCCAGCTGATGGGAGACCCAGACGGATCCCTGCTTCTTGGGGTCTTTTTATTTTGTCACCAAGAAATTCATGCCTCTCTGGACCCATCTCTCCAGACACGCTGGGTCAAGGTCATTAGGCAGGGTGAGGGTGGACGGGTACCCCATTTAAGAAGTCCTCAGGTGACACCCACTGCAGTCAGGATAAGACCCAGACACCTTGCCCCAGCCAGCTGCACCCTGCAGGGACTGGCGCCCGCCCCACCGCTCCTGCTGGTGTTTTCTCCTTACCGCCCTCACTCAGGACTCTGCAGCTGCACAGGCCTCCGCCTTGGCTGTGTCCTGCTCCCTGCATGGCAGGGCCCTTCTCACCCCCGGGACCTCGCTAACCTGTCAGCCTAGCAGGCCTCCCGCTCCTCTCTCCCTCGACGCCTAGCTCTTTGCCATCTTAGTTCCTCTCCTAATTTGCTGCAATCTGTTCATTGTGTACTGCTGGTCACATGACTCCCAACCTGGTGCCAGGTCGAGGCCAGCGTCCCGGGGCCTGAGTCTGTTTTGTGCACTCAAATGAACTGAACTCACAGGACCCTGGAGATGGAGCTGCCTGTGGACAAATCCTGCCTGAGAATAGAGGTGCCCTGTGCCTGAGGTTGGGGAGCCCGAGGGCAGGGATGGGCCGCTTCTTGGGGACAGATACCCCCTCAGCCTCCTTATTTGCTTCGGGAGCCCCTGAAGCAGTGCCGGGCATCCCTGTGGTACCCATGGTGACCAGGCTGGGCTGGGCTGGCTCAGGGCAGCGAAGCAGTGTAGGCTGCAGGGAGTCCTGGTGGAGAATGGCTGCGCAGGAGCTCAGGGCAAGGCTGTCCTGGAAACCCGGCCTCTAGGAAGAACAGACAGCTCTGCGTATTCCTGTTACCAGTGAAGGCCTTTTGCGACAGCAAGACAAGGTGACGGGAGGTTTCGTGACCCAGAGCTAGTGTCCAAGGGCATGACCACGTGTGTCTACCTGTGCCCACCTGTTCTGTAGAGGACCCCCACCAGACCTCAGCTGAAGGCCCCTCTACCCAGAGGTGTTTCCCAGCCCCCTCGTCCCCAGTCTAGAGGTGGTGGCAGGGAGGCATTGTCCTGGAATTTCAGGGAGGTGGGTGCCCAGACCCCCAGTGAGATGGACACTGTCTGGGCCACTTCTGCCCACTGAATCCCCAGCAGGGATCTCACCCCCAGCACCATTCTGGCATCTCAGAGGCTTGGAGAACAGTCACCACAGCCTGAGCTAGCTTGGAGGCACCGGGTTCAGGGCTCTCTGTGTGACCTGCAGTCCTTTCTTCAGCATCCAGGCTGGGAAGGGCCCTGCCCTAGAACAAATCCCAGGCTGCAGAGCGGTGCTCAAGGGGAGAGAGTCACACCTGTGAGAAGGCCCTCCCTTGGCCGAGCCCTCTCTGCTCCCCTCGGTCTCCGGCTCCCACGGGAGGATGTAGGCATGAGAAACGCACAGGTGCCGGTGCCGCAGCTCAGCAGAGGCGGCTAACCAGGCGATCCTGGGGGATGGCGCCGGCAGTGGGTCCCGCTGGCTGTGAGGATGCTCATCAGCTGCAGGCCTGTCTCCCACTGCCTGGTCGATGGAGGCTGGACATGGGGCTGCTGCTTCTCATGGTGACACCCTCAAGCCTCAGAAAGGCATTTTTTCAGCTTCTTGACCCAGGTTTGGGGAAGTCCAAAGTCTACAAAGGAGTCTCATCATGGAACCCTGAGTGTGTGTGTATATGAGTGTGGGGATGTATGTATATAGGTATGTGTATTCATATGTATGAGTGTATGCACATGCACGTGTGTGCGTAGGTATGTGTGTATATGTATATTCTATATGTGTGTGTTTAGGGGTGTGTGTCTATATTGTATGTGTGTGTTTAGGCGTGTGTGTGGGTATTGTATGTGTGTGTATATTGTATGTGTGTGTGTTTAGGTATGTGTGTGTGTATTGTATGTGTATGTGTTTATGTGTGTGTGTATTGCATGTGTGTGTGTTTAGATGTGTGTGTGTTGCATGTGTGTGTTTAGGAGTGTGTGTGTATTGTATGTGTGTGTATTGTATGTGTGTGTATTGCATGTGTGTGTGTTTAGGTGTGTGTGTGTTGTATGTGTGTGTGTGTGTGTGTGGATTTGTGCCTATGTACGTGTATGTGAGTATGTGCCTGTGTATGTTGTGCAGGTTCATGTGTGTGACTGTGTGGGGTGGTGTCAGGGGTGGGCACTCGGGGGGATGAATGCGTTCCTAAGAGGTGAGTCTGGGACATTTAACTTTCGCTTCTCCCAGGGGTGGGTGCATGAGACGGGAAGGGAGCTTCCCTTCTCAGGCCCCCAGAGCTGGTCTTTGCCTCCCTCTTCTCTATCCCCACAGAGCAGCAGGCTGAGGAGGAGGCTGTCACATCATGGTCAGCAGGGCCCAAGAGGGGTACCTGGGTCCTGGGCCTCCTTGCCCAGGCCAGAGATGCTGGCGGAGGCAGGTTTCTGCAGGGCCCCTCATGGCTACCGGCCTGTGTGTGTGAAGCTGTCCACACAGCACTCTGAGCAGGGAATGGGGGGACCTGCTGCCTTTTAAGCCCAGGGCAGGGGACAAGAAGTCTGAAGGTGGCAGAGCCCACCCTTCTACAGGCAGGAATCCTGGGTGCCACCAAGGAAAGTCTCACTAACCTCTCTCTTGGTTTCTAGGAACCATGCCATTTAGGGAGCCCTCTGTGGCCATCTCTACCTGGACCAGGGTGAAAATGCCTCTTCTTGGTTTAGCGAGACCAGCCTCAGCTGACTCCCAGAGGTGCAGAGCCAGGCTGGGTTCTAGCAGCTCTCTAGCATTTCTGGATCCCCACAGGGAACGCGTTAGGTAGGAAGTCTGTGCAGACTGGAGAACCTTGGCTACTCCAGCCAGTGGGAACAGCTCCCTGCTGACACCTTTTCCCCAGCAGTCCTGAGAGCTAACAAACATTTATGGAGCACTTACAGTATGCCAGACGCTTGTCTAAGCGCTTGACATGGACTAATGCATTTAATCCTCCCAAAAAGCCTATGAAATGGACACCACAACTGTGCTCATTTCATAGACGAGAAACTGAGGCATAGAGAGGTTACGTAGCTTGCCTAAGGTCACATGGCCAGAAAGTGGCAAAGTGGGGGTTACCGAGCCTTGACAGCTGCCTCTTAGCACTTCCGCAGCGTCACCCTGAAGTGCCCTGCTTGGTGGGAGGGTGGAATTGGGGGGCGCAGAGTTCTGGATGTTCTGTTTTAGGGAACATCCAGCTTCCATGGGGTTCCAGTGAATCCCAGAAAGGCTTTGCAAGCAGCAGTCCAGGGGGCAGAGTGGTTGGGCACTCAGCTCCAGTGGCAGGAGGGGAGCAGATCATGTCCACTTCTCAGGAGAGCCCTTGGCTGCCACCATCTCCCATCACCTTGCACAGGCTGCCGAATGCTCCTGTCTGGGGGCTGTCCCCGCCACAGGTGCCTTCTTTGTCAGGAAGAGCCCCTGCCAAGCCCCCTGCCTGCTTTCCTGTCTGGGAAACTGGCAGAGCAGCTGAGAAGGCCCTGGGCCCCCTCCTCGCCCTGCCTTCCCGGTCCTCCTGCCAGCCTTGCATCCTGCTCTGCTCTTCTGAGCCACCTCTTCCCCAGGGCCTGTGAGTTCACAGGAGTCTCACAGGATGCCTTTAGAGCTCTCTCTTTGCCTCCTGCCCATAGAAATCCTGCTGACCTCCTCTTCTTACCCTAAAAAGGGTAGAAAACTTGAGCCTCCAGCTCAGTGATTTCTAAGGGAACTCCACGCCACCTTCTTCATTTCTTCATTATCTGCCCTAGAAGGCCCTTAAGTCATGTCTCTCATGATCTGGACCTGTTGCGATTGTTTTCATTTTAGCCCTAAGCCCAACACTTAATATGCGTGAAGGAGAAATGCAGCGTAGGCTTGTGTCCAGACTCCTTTTTGCCTGTTAATATTTTCTGAAATCCTGATGCTGATGTCCTTTCTTCCCCTTGTATTCGTGATACATTTATCCCACTTGATCCATCAGCGGCCTCACTGGGGGAGCACAGGATCGCACTGGAAGAAAATGCCACCCCCACAAACTGTCCAGACCATGCGGATTTCATGGAGTCGGAAGTCACATCAGAGCTGCTTAAGGCTCCCTGGAGAGGGGTGGTGGATCAGGAAAGGGGGTGAAGGGGACAGAGGGAGCAAAAGACCTGGGCAGCATGTGGCTTCAGAGTTCATCATTTCCCGTGGACCCCGACATAAGCAAGGCAGCGCAGCTGAGCCCTGTGCACAGAGAGGCCCCAGAGAGTATCTGTTAGTGTCTGCATAAATGGGGCTCTCAGATTCACATGTGGGATATGCTGAATTAAGGCAAAAGGAGACAGACTTCTTGGAGGACTCTGAAGAACTTAGGGGATCTCTAAGAGAAGGGTGGAGGGAGGCTTTCCCAAGTTGATGAGATCCCAGAGCTCATAGGGGAATGCCTGCTGGGAATGCTGATTAAATGGGAAGATGTTTGCACTTTGGGAGGCCAAGATGGGAGAATCACTTGAGGCCAGGAGTTCAAGAACAGCGTGGGCAACATAGCGAGACCCTGTCTCTACAAAAAGTATAAAAGTTACCCAAGCTTGGTGGCACACACCCGTAGTCCCAGCTACTCAGGAGGCTAAAGTTGAAGGATCGCTTGAGCTCAGGAGTTCGAGGTTGCAGTGAGTTGTGATGATGCCACTGTACTGCAGCCTGGGCAACACAGCAAGACCCCATCTCCAAAGTAATCGTAGTAATAATAATGAGAAGATAGATGTCGGGCCAAGTCAGTGTTAGTGGGTGGTCCAGACCCCGCCGCAAACCAGGTGAGCGTCCTTGGGCAAATCAAGCCCTCCCTAAGCCTCAGTTTCCCCATGAAATGAATCTCTTACTCCAGGCCTAACTTCTTCAGGTGACCACTGAGAGAAGGGACAGGGAAATCTCTGTGACTGAGAGTGCTTTGCACAAAGCATGTGCACTGTGGAAGGAATTGTGGGTTTGCCTCTTGCATTCCTGGAAGAAGCCACAGAGGCTGGGCTTGAACACCTGGAGTGAGTGCACTTGGGCTGCTTCGCAGGTGTTTTGAGTGACTTCTGCTGCAGGAGAAAAGGGAACAGTTCATTCACAGACTGAGCTCGGTGTGTGGTTTCTGAGTGGGCCTGATCATTCTTCCCATGAACTGCTAGTGATCCCCTCACAGATCTTGCCTCCCCTGAACTAACTCAGTCAGGGCTTTATCCTGGAGACATTGACCTGGTCACCAGGCACCAGCCCTCCTGACCGTGGCTCTGGGGACATTTGAAAAGGCAGAAGCAATCAACTCCCGGGCCTATGACAATGACCATAAATCTCCAGCCTAGACAGCTTCCAGCAAGGGCCAATCCAGGCTCAGCCCTGGCACCCCTGGGGACCCTGGAGGAGGCTGGGCTAGAGCCCCATAGGAATGAGATGGCAGATTTGTGGCATAGAATTAGGCTACAGAGAGCATGTGGCTTAGACCAGGAGGAAACACTCAGGCTGGGGGCCAGCGCCCTCCTGAACAACTCAAGGGAGGGAGGAAGTGAGACTTCAGCCAGGCCCAAAAGTACACCGTGATTTCAGAACCCCAGCAGGTGAGCAAGAGCCTTCTCAGAGCCTCCCTGCCAGCCTTCCTGATCCCTTTTATGCATAGGAGAAACCGACTTTTGGGGTTAAGGGGCCTCTGGAATGAGCTTCAAATGGCTCAATTTGAAGTGTTCAAGAACCGCTGATGGTTCTTGATTTAGTGTAGACATTCACCACCATTGCCCTTACTGTCACTGTCATTGCACCCCTTCAGCATGACCACTATCACCATCACCACAACCGTTGCCATCTTCACCAGCACCAATACCACCTCAGCGTCATAACCACTGTCACCTCCACCAATATGACCTTCACTACCATCATTACCGCCATCACCTCTGTCAACCCAACCATCACCACCAACATTACCCTAACCATCACTGTCATTACCACCCCATCACCATTGCCGCTGTCACCATCCCCACTGCCATCTGCACCACCACCAATACCACCTCATAACCACTATCACCTCCACCAATATGACCTTCACTACCGTCATTACCACCATCACCACCTCCATCACCAGTATCACCACGTCCATCACCAGTATCACCACCTCCATCACCAGTATCACCACGTCCATCACCAGTATCACCACGTCCATCACCAGTATCACCACCTCCACACTCAGCACAGCCATCACCATTACCCTAACCATCACTATCATTGCCACCTCCACCATTACTGCTATCGCCACCACCACTGACATCTCCACCACCATATCCCACCGCCCATACCACCTCCACCACCATCTAACCATGATCACTGTCACCACCACCATTATGACCTTCACCACCATCATTACCATCATCGCCTCCATCACCAGTATCACCGTCACCACCACCATTACCCTCCCCATCACTGTCATCACCACCATTATCAGCGTCATCACCGCTGCCACCACGACCATTACCACCAGCGTCACCACTAGCACCATCTGCTTCATCACATTTTGCATTTGCCTTTGCCCACACTGAGGAAGATTGCAAATCTCACCCACTAGCACTGCTCTTCTGTTAACTCTCTATACCCTGGAATATTCATCTCTGTCTGCCTGCTCATGATCAAAGAGGTCAGTGAAAGCCTGGCCGTGCTAGACTGAATGTACTTCTCGTTTGTCCAGACTCATACCTGTTTTCCCTCCTTCTTCGTTAACAGCTGCCCTCTTTCCCTCTCACTGTGCCCCGGTTTTCATGACACCTGCGTTAAGACCATGTCCAGCTTCTGATTAACCCCACAAGGACTAGCAGTCCAAGGATGCTAACCGAGAACAGAGTCGTGGGCTTCCTTCTGACTCTCACGGAGCAGGGATGCTAGCTGGAGGTTACACCCACCATCACTGATAACTAATGGTGTCCCTGCTTCCCCTTCCCTTGCCTTCCCTGCCCTTCCTCCAACTTCCAGGAAACCACTGAGAAAAGACGAAAATGGCACCAGCATTGCTGAGTATCCCATGAGCTCTTCCCAGAGCAACAAAGGGGTGGACGTGAACAACACAGTGGTGTGAGTCTGCAGGTCCTGGACCCGCTGGCCAGAGGGACACCTTGGTGGCACTAGTGGACATGGGAAAGCAGGTGGACATGAGCTAACCTGAGCTTCTCCAGGACTTCATTGCCTCACAGGCCCCGAGCCTCCCAAAGGAGAATCCATTCTCTTCCTGGGCTTGCCGCCGGTCAGCCTGTGGGCCCAGGCAGCTCGGACACCAGGCCGAGCCTGGCTCACGCTGTGCGCAGCACCTGGGCAGTGTCCCCACCCCAGGCCCTCCACTTCCTCCTCCCTGTCTGGTGTCTGGTCTGTCGACTGTGCCCAGCTGCTGTCTACAGCACGCGCACTGGTGACGCCCAGGGATCTGTGTTTCTGCTGCGGCAGGGAGGCATCCCCCTTCAGCCAAAAGAAAGATGGTCCAGGGCCCACTCCCTGCCGGAAACCTCTCCTCCTCCCAGGAAGCCTGCCTGCTCCTCTGTCCACATTCTCAACAGAAGCCATCGGCACAGCCGGGAGACAGGCGTCCCCTTTCAAAGGTGCTTCCCACACATCTGTTCATTGCCCCATCTGCAATTGTCAATCTTCAGGGCCTGCCTTCTCCCGCCTGTCCCCACTGACACCCCACACCCTCGGCTCCTGACTGCCTGCCATGGAGGGCTGTGAGCCCAGACTGCAAAATCCCCTCCTGAGCAGACAGAGGAGCTAGTTTACACTCGGGGGCAGTGCCTGGCCTTCCGGGGGCAAAACAACTTACTGAACCCTAGGTCCAGGGCCACTGGGTAAGGGCAGAGGCCACTGCACCTGTCCTCACACTCATCCCCACACTTGACCCCATAGGAACCCATGCATCGATGTGAGCCAGGCCCTGCCTTAGTCAGCAGAGGCCACTACTTGTGCCAAATCCACTGTGGGCATGCTGTGCCACACTGACGCTGGCCAGGCGCTGGATGTCCCCACAGTCCCCTGAGGCCTGACTGTTGTACTCAGGCTCTCTGCCAGAGTCCTCCATCCTCTTCCCATTTTACCCTCCCCCAGCCCCAGTCACCAAGAAGGAGGTGTTGTTCCAATGTCTTCCTGTCAGTGTCTGTTTCCAGTGCTATAGGATCACGGAGCCCTCTGGCATGGTTGGAGCACCCAGGGATGAAATGGGACGGGAGGTGAGGGACCCTCAAGGCTGGTAACCCCTGCTCAGTTGGCCTGTCTCCCAAGCGGCTGCCTTCCCTGTGGGCTCCATCAGGAAGCCCATGGAGACAGGGTGATTTTGCATCTTCTGGCAAATGAGTGGGACACTCCTGGCCCTGTGGTTCTCCCCACCGCCCCTGCATATGTGCTCAGAAGGAACCCAGCGCATTGAATGTTTCCACTGTCAGGCCCTGTAGGACCTGGTCTGCATCCTGAACTGCCAGTGTACTCTGGTAGGTATTTAAGCTACAGATGAGACTTTGAAGTCCAGGGAAGACAGACACATGTGAAAACCGGCTCTCATTTGGGCCAAACCTTAAAATGTCCATTGTCCCAGAGTCCTAGTGCCCACAGAGCTGTGTGTGTGTCATCGTCCTGCCTGGGTCAGCAGGTGCAGGCTGAGGACAGGCCCAGGGCAGACCCTCACATAAAGACTTTTTCTTCCATCCTCATGTCCTTCTGTTTGAGGACTTGTTTTGGGTTTGGATTTGCATTTTGCTGTTCCTGGACACCTGGGCATCAGCATAGTGCCACCCCCTACCCCCTACCTGGCCAGTACTTCACCATGCTCTTGGGGTACAGAGCCAGGTGACAAACAGGCCAGAGGATGTAGGCCAGCAGCAGGTCAAAGGGTGCAACTTGGCAGACCCCACCCAGGGCATTCTTCCCCACTGCCTGCAGCCTCCTGGTGCCTGCCAAACCCCCCAAGCTGTGCGCTAAGCAGACACCTGGGCAGGACCCTAGCCCTAAGCACACACCACCCTGTGCTGCATCCATGAGAAAGTGCCCATGCCTTGGGCTGTTCAGAAGCTCAGGAGTGATCAGAGGGCACCTTCTGCCAGAAGGGAGGTTCCTGGCTAAGGGATCATGGAGTGCTGGGCAGCCTGCAGGGGCTGGGCACAGCCCAGCTTGGCACACACTCACCTGGTCCCACCATCCCCACTTGGCCTGGTCCCACCATCCCCAACCTTGGCTTAAACCTCGGAGGCCTGGATTTTGCAGTTAGCCTAATCTTCCAGCCCCTGGCGAGGCTCCCTGGCGAGGAATCAGCTGAGCCATGACACGCTTTGGAGCCTGTATCCTCTTCCCTGAGCCACGGACGCACCCAGGGCTCTGGTTTGCCCACAAATTCCGTCTCCGTTGAGCTTGTAAAATCCCTTCTCACCCCAGTTAGCAAACACCAAGGAAGAGCCTAGTTTTTTTGAAAAGATTCACTTAATACCCACTCTCACCCCCCTACCATGCCCAAGACCAGCCATTCAAAACATAAGTCTCACGGCACAGCGAGGGAGACCCAATAGATTTTGAGCTTACGAGACTTAAGCATACTTAAAACCATGCCGGCCTAGTATTTGAGCTTAAAACTTGTATTTAAAATGAGTCTGTGGTTTCTAGACACATAACTGATTCTCAGGCTAGTCCCAGCGCTGAGGTCAAGAACGAGATGCCCTTCCCTTCTCATTTTCTCAAGCAGATCTTTCCCAGCCGTCTCGCAGTTGAGCCCAACTTCAGAACTCAGATCACAGGATCTCCCAGAAGTTTCAGGTGTTCCTAAGCAGCTTCTCAAGGAAGTTTTGGAAGAAAGACTAATAGGTGTAAAAATATAAACATATTATATAGAGCTATATATATTTAAAGAGATCTCTACATATATATATATATATATATATATAAAACTACTGTACTCTCTGCATCTGTACAAAGTATGAGTTAAACGCCCAGGTAGTGTGAGATATGTAATGCATGAATGTGAATATCCTGAAATCTGCCTTCTTAGCAATGGGTCGTGTGTACAGGGGAGGACTGTTGCTCCTGGGAGTTCTCTCAACGGGCAGATGTCCAAGGTGATGCCGTCTCATCCACCAATGAGCCATTAAGGTTGGTTTCCTGCTGAGACTTTTGTACCAGAAGCAAGACCGGCAGCCCTGGGGGGTGTCCATATGCCACTGATGAGGAAGAAAGCGCCATGACTTTTTTATTTTCAATAAAACATAGAGATGTCTGTCAGTTGTCATTTGTGGGGTGGGGGGGAAAGAGAAGGTGGGCCTGAGGGATGGGGGCATCCTTCACGAGGGTCCTGCTATACCCCAAGGCTGGGCTGGGGACCTTACGTGGGGTGTTTTTGTATGTGTTATCCCAACGACCCAAGGTCGGTACTTATGGGGACTTCAGAGGCCAATGCTGTCCCTCATCCTGCCACCCACCGCCTTGACCCTTGACCTAATTGAGAATAGAGCGACCAACCTTCCCAGTGTTCCTGGGACTGAGAGATTTTCCTGAACCCAGGACTTTCAGAGCTAAACCCAGGAACATCTGGGGAAAATGGGACAAGACAGTCACCTTAAGTGGACAATGCTCACAGGGAGCAGGAATCAGCCGGCCACACCAGCAGGGTGACGGTGGCCAGGGTCAGCCTCCCGTATGTCCACCCCATGTGAAGACCTCAGCACCCATGCATTGCTCTGCAGAGCCCCCTTACCTGGCCAGGTGCACGGAGAATGGAGGCCTGCCCTGCACCCCACACAGAGGGGCCCAAAAGGCACAGGGACCCCAGGCTCACCCTCCCCCACCCCTACTCCCTTGGTTTTTCCTCAAGCAAGCCTCACGGGAAGCAGCCAGGAGGAAGAGCTTCCCGTCTGACGGGCGGGGAGAGGTGTAGGAAGAGAGAAGAAAGTTGCCCTGCAGCATCCTCATCCTCATCTTTGCAGTGAGGAGACAGGTCAGAGATGGAGCACCATGGCCAAGGTTGAGCACATACCAGGAAACAGGGATGGGGCTGGGGGTTGAACCCAGCCTGGTGCCTCCAAGGCCCGGCCACTGGGCACAAGTGAGGGGCCCCAACCCAGACTCTCCATTATTGGGGTGCTGCTGGGCCCCACCACCCCTGCCTGGGTTCCCTGGGGCTTCAGAGTTATCTCAGTGAGGGACAACTCAGAGCCCGGTATGCCCAGAGCTGGTGGGCAGGTATATCCCCCAACCCAGCCCACAGCCCAGGGGGCAGCAGCTCAGTGCAGGAACTCAGTGAAGTGCCTGGGTCCCAAGCCTCAGGGACGCGGAGGGAATGCGGAAGTTATTAAAGGCTCTCCTATAATAAGTACCCTTGCTCCTGGGATTCTGCGAGCTGCTGTTCGCCTGCATATTGTAGACACGTAGTAGAAGACAGCCGTCGTTACAATAACCATCACTGTTGTCCTTAATGAAGCAGCCTGTGTGATAGTGAGGGCTCCTCTGTCCACCAGCCCCTCCTGAGGCTGCCTGGAAGCTGATGAGGGTTCCATGGGGCGTCTCAGGCCTCACACCCAGTCCTGCGCACCCCGGCCCAGGCATCCTCAGCAGCAAACCCGGAGGCCAGCGGGGGATGCCGCAGGGACTGGCAGGTCTGTGTGCTGAGCTCTGTCTGCTTGTGTAGGGGCCTGGGAATGGGGACCCAGGGCCAGCCTGGCAGAGGAAGGTGGCGATCGGCCGAGCGTACAGGCACCAGGAGCCATCAGCACAGAGCGCAGCGTCACAGCCTTCCTGGGGGCCAGCCCAGTCTCTCCACCTCCCATCTCTGGGGACTTTGGCCACTGCTGCCACCTCCTATGACCAACACAACAAACTGTGCTCTGGCCACCTGACAGCGCCATGTCCTGCTCTGGGGTCCTGCTGCTGCCAGTGAGGAGGGAGATGCTGCAGGCTCCGGCAGGGTGGCACAATGACTGTCTTGGATGCATGAGAGTGAGTGGTGGCAGGAAGGCTCTCCCTCTTCCTCCTGCCTTCCCTGCACACGGCACTATGGTGTGACCTTGCCAAACACGGTCCTGTGAACCTGAGTGAGCTGCTATGCTGGCTGTGGCTGGCAGTTGGCTGGGTACTGTGGCTGCGTTGTGGCCTCACCTTTGGGCAGATTCACCCACATCACCAGGCTCATAACAGGCCCCACTGAGTCACCCACTTCCTGTTCCTCTACCATCCTCCCACTTAGGAAGTAGCTGACCAGTCATGTGACACATGGAGGAGGCCCTGTCTCCACGCCTGGCACAAGTGGTATCCACAGCCCCTGCAGGCACCTGCGGCTGCCTGTGTCTGGAGATCCAGCTCCGTGACGCCCCCCTTGCGGGGGCAGGTGGAGCAGCACTCCCAGCCCGTCCTCCCCTCCTCTCCCGGCTCTCCGCTGGGGCTCCTTCTGCTCTCCATCGTATGTTCATCTGGTCAGTCATTCCCTAAAACCTTAAGAGGCTCTGCTACCTGCCAGGAGCCACACTGAACACAAGGTTCGGCTTCCCCCACCCAAGGCCCTAGCTGGAAATCTCAGAGGTCCCCAGCTCCTTGAACCTGATGGGTCCCACCAGGGCCCTCCAGTCTGCTCTCCAACCCACCTCCACTCACCCAGCCCCTCCCCATACCACCCCCACTTCCACTCCCTCTCTCCACTCCTCACTCCACGCAACCACTACTTGCCCAGCTGAGCCACTCAAGCCCACCCTGCTGGCTGCTGTGGACCCATATTTAGTCTGGCTGCCCTGGGCCCCGAGGCTTCCCCACTCCTCACTGCTCACCCCACCTACACCCACCATCCAGCAAGCGACACTCACCGCCAGCCTCGTGTTCCCACACCCTCCCCTTGGCTGGGCTTCGCTGTCTGCCCAGCTCACCTCTCCCTCCAGTTTCTGCCTGGCTGCCGCTCATCGGCTATCCAGGTACCCCTCAGAGGCAGCCTCCCCGAGGAACACAGGTGGAACATAAACCCACATATTCACAGAGCCACAGGAATGCCCCCTCCTGAACGGCACAGACAGCCCTGCACGCAGAGCTCCCCCCTGCCCTCTCTGGTGGTTGTTTCCGGTCGGTTATCCTCCGCTGCCTGAGCCTGGCAGCCCCAGACAGCTGCTGCTCACTCATATCCTAGTGTCAACTGCCAGCCTGTGCTGTGTCCTAGGGATTCAAAGGGAAATCAGGCCCCCGCCCTCCAGGGTTAGGTTAGTGGTGGCATTGGGCCCACAATGTGCACAGCGAGGATGACACCAGTGTGGAGATAAAGGGACACTCAGGGCCAGCTTCCCAGAGCTTCGTATACTTTATCTCTTTAACAGTCCCCACAAGCTTAGGAAGCAGGAAGATCACCCCCATTTTACAGATGAATAAACTGAGGTTAAGTGGCTTACCAAGGGGCAAAAAAAAGCAGTTAAGGCATAGAGCGTGAATTCAGATCTAGCTCTGTGTGGCTACAAGTTCGTTCCAGGTTCTTCCAACCCAGACAGATCCTTGGAAAAAACAATGCATTCCAGCTGGATTTATAGCCAAGTATCTCCCCTGCCACGAGAATCACACAGGAGCTGCAATCAGGGCTCATGGATCTGACAAAATCACTTCCTAAGTGACTTCTGCAAGCCTCTTTCCCTCTCAAAGCCTGGGATTTCTCATCTGTGAAGTTGGGGGAGACAGATCAGGTGG